TGTGTGTGTGTGTGTGTGTGTGTGTGTGTGTGTGTGTGTGTGTTTAACTTCTCTATGTACCTTTGTTATTTTATTCTTCACTAAACCACCCTTGTCTCCTTCTGAGAAACAATGTAATATAAAATGGCTAAGAAAGAAAACAGAAAGAGCTATGCATTTTGTATGTCCTGTGCTTCAGTACAGTAGTGTTAAAAATTACTTTAAAACATGCTTACAGAGGTGTTAAAACCAAAGAACACAAACCATCATAGTTGTAATCAACAAATGGGCAACCAAAAAAAATGCCTGATTCTCCTTGTTTTGGAACCAGCTCTAAAACCTTATACCTAAGTTTGTATTTAAAAAGTATTACTCATTTACATCAAGATTGGAAGACCAAAATTGTAGTAAGATACCTGAGAGTTAAGAATTTGAATTTTTAAGGCAAATTATTTAACCTAGGAAAGCCTCCATTCCTACATCTTTTCAATAGTTATAACTAAATCACAGAATGGCTATGAAAATACGTAATAATATTACGTATAAGTCCAACAGACAAATAGTAAGCACTCAGTAAGTGGTACCTGTCATCATTAACTAGAAAAGATTATTAAAGACAGGTGTTCTTAACTTGGGGTCTACAGATACCTGGTCCATAGACAAAACTGCAGGGTTGTGGGGAATCCCAAAACGTGGATGGGGAAAAGAGATTACATCTACATTTTCGCTAACCTCTAAGCAAAATTCAGCATTTCCCAATTATGAATATTCACCACAATAGTATTAGAAGAACCTGTCTCTTTGCACTAATAGAAGTTACAGGTGTTTTCATGTTACATTTCTGATGTTACAGTTATGTCAAAATATCTTTTATCGTCTCTCTGAAATCTAGTTGTCATTACACCTGGTGCTAGATCTTAATGCGTTAGTAAAGAAACAATACTATGCTATCAACGTTTGTTTTTAATTTCGAGAAGCGTAGTTTGCTTTGTAATCATCAATGTTTTATTTTATGCGCTTAAAGCATTATTCTGAGGAGGGGTCCATGGGCCTCACAAGACGGCCATGGCACCAAAAACAGGTTAAGAATCCCTACATTTTAGTCTCTCTCTTTCCTTCCAGAAAGCCAACCAAGTTGGACAATTGAGCACCTGCCTGGGTGAGCCCATTCCCAAAGTCTCAGGTTTGTTTTCTGTCCGTAGCTCGCTGGAAACGATATTCCAGTCCTGGAACCCGACTCTGTATCAGTCAATTTGCCAAGCTCGCCTTCCATTTACGCCTGGCACCTGTCCTGTTCAAGGTCCTGTGTCCCAAGCTGACAGGCTGCTTTTCTGGTACGTTCGGATGACACAGCCCTGGCCCCCCGCTGGACGCCGGGCCCCTGGTGAAGCGGGGCAGTGAGTGTGCAGCGTGGTCCAGGCCCAGCAGCATCTGCGTCTCCTGGCAGTTTGTCACATTTGCCAATTTGCTGGCTCTCGGGGAACACCGCAGCCCTGAAACGCACCCGGGGCTATCAATCCGTGTTTCATCAAGCCCTCCGGGAGATGCACGCTGGACTTGGACAACCGCCCGTAGGGAA